TTCGATGATTCTTTGTTTCGCAATTTTAATATTTTATTCTAATTTTATATATTTATTTTTTAATATTCTAATTAATGTAATGCATGGTGTAACTTTTGTACAAAGTATTTAATTACATTTCCTTACAATAGCCTGAATCCCGTTTATGCAGAAATAAACGATGGTACTGAGGTTTGCAGTGGAGAGACTCTGTTTTTCTTTGCTGTTATGCCAAATTATTAAAAATATACCTTCCAACTTTGAGCACGATTCCTTTCCATTTTCATTCCTCGTTTTTCGTTAATTTTTGTTTCTTCAGCCTGTTGCTTTCTATTTTTCTTCATTATCTCTGTCCTTCGATTGTTACAGAACCATTAAACCTTTTTCTTCTTCCAGACTGACAGTTTAACAGTGCACAATAATCTGTTGCTTTTTGATTTTAATCTCCACTTCGTACTCGTCTTACTTCCATCTACTGATGGTACCCTATGTGACTATCTTTTATACAGTTAACTGTTTTGAGGTAAGCGAGTGATTTGTGGCGGAGCAGTGGGTTACATAGAAGTGTTCAACTGGGATGAATGGGGTAATCTTCTCGAGCGGATCCACGCCGGACACAAAGATAGCATCGACTGTCTCTGCGTCGTTGAGGAGGACCTGGTCATCTGCGGTTCGTCAAACGGCTACCTGCAGCAAATCCGCATGCTACCTAACCAGCTGGGAAGGATCATCGGCAGCCATCAGGGCGGCATAGAAGACCTGGCGCTTAGCTTTGACAAGAAACTCGTCATTAGCTGCAGTGACGACAATAAAGTAAAGTTTTGGAAGAATGACCGCAAGAGGAAGAATGTAGCGATCCTGTCGAAGAGGAAAAAACCGATCCACTCGTTGAGGGAACAACTGAAACATTCCAAGGGTGAGTTTTTCGAAGGACTCGAAGTCACCGAAGATAATCAGCAGGAAGAACAAGAACAAACTTTATCATTATCAGAAGAAAATGTGTAATTCTAAAATGTGTACATCATGTACATTACTTTCAGTAAACTTTTGTTCCTCTTCCAAGCATAATGTTTGCTTAAAATACATAAGTTATACGCAATGCTTTGGCAACAGTATATTAGGTCTATAACATATCCAGTACATCGCAACAATATCATGCAAACGTTGGCAGATTGCGCCATTCATATCCTTTTCTTCCGGTAAGGATGCAGACAACGTAGAAGAAATGGTAAGCTGAAACGGGACAGAATAATAATAGTGCACATCAATAAATAAACCAGACGCGCTTACCTCCGGGAATCAGACAAATGGAACCGGTCAAGAAAATGATCCAAGCGTGGGAATCTAAATAAAAAATCCATTGAATGATCCAGGTTTTAAGCAACGCGCTTACGAATTATGGTCCCTGGTTTACACTACCTGTATGTACAATGAAACTAAAAACATTGCCGCATATTATATAGAACGTTGGATATTTTATATAAGTAGTAATTTCTCTACCACTATTGTTAGCACTTTTCACCATATATGGTCAGCTTGCCCTTTGCATTTCAATGAAAAATCAATACTCTGTCGGTTTTGGACTCGTAGTTTGCCAAGTCGACAACGAAGAGTGACTGGCAGATAATAAAGAATCGATTGCTGATCATGGCTTATTTATGATCACATAGAGTTGTAACATCCCATGGTTTTTGTCATGTTCTTTCACTGATACGATCACAATGTGTGATTTATTCCTTGCCATGCGGAATGGCCATACCATACAACATAAAAGAAAAACTACATAAAAAACAAAATTCATAAGTATATGTTGAGAGGTAAGCAAATTAAATAGCTGTTTACACAGAAGATAGGCCGTTCCTGAGGCGGACCAAAGCAGGAATGACCGGATTTTTTATCGGTTCTGTTGAGAGTAGATGTTCAGTATTTTGATCTCGTATCGGGATGTAGGAATATACTAGACGATAGAGTGGGATGACGTGGACGGTTTCTGTTGGAGAGAATACAGGTTGTCAGCTTTTAGGATGCGTTGTACAAGCTTTTGACAAGAGCTTCTAAATCGCAGCAGCCTTACGTGCCATCAACTTGAGCGTGGTGGTATTGTCTAAGACATCAGCTTTGAACTCCGGAAGTGCCGAGTTTGATCCGGAAGAGGAGCAATCACTGTGTTAACCAGGAATTCCGCCGAGGAAGTTATTTACCATACGTTGTTTCAGACCGGAGTTGCTCAGTGTGTAGAGCGTCAGACTCAAAACCAAGAGGGCCGTAGTTCAAGTCTCGGTAGGGTCACTGGCAGTTCTTCTTTCTGAAGTAGATAAGCGAGTACTACTGACAGAAAGAAACAGGGCAGAGACTACAACTGCCTTTAAATAAGGCGCTTTTCCTGATGGCATGAAAATGGAGATCAGCACTTGCACCATTAGCTTCAGGAAAAGAAAATGCCACACTACCCCCATCACGAAAGTTAAAGGAAGACCGAAATTACAACTGTTATAAACTTTCCTGTTTTATCAGCTTGAGGGCCTTGTGCAGACAGCAGAAACTGGTTTTGGGAAGATAGGAGAGGCATACGTAATAAAACGAATCCATGATTTCATCAAAAAGTGTAGAGTGGATTCTGGAGCTCCCAGTTGTAAAATGCCGCGATTATCATTACGAATTAGCAAAAATTTTCAAATCTGCTTTGAAAATGTGATGAACTTTATATGACGTGAAGAAAGATACTATCATAAATTATTCCTCATTGCTGTGTTAAATTTCCCTCGAACACTGATAAAACTCATTTGGTTTCTTCACTTCAATTTTTATGACCGCTTCTCCTTTTGGGTAGCGGAGGAAAACGCGCCAGACAATGAGTCCAACGCTCTTGATCCTGTGCCAGAGTCTGAGCTTCGGCAGAAGACAACGAGTCTCGAACAGACTCCCCCTGTACAATTCCTTCAGGTTAGTCTTGACCGTCCAATGGGCCTTCTCCATCCTTCTACCTCGATGGAGGCGTTCGCAGCAGATGCCTAAATCATCGCAGGTTTGACTTCTCAATCTGAAGAACCTGCGGCTATACACCACGGCTCTCGCAGATGTCTGTATTCTGGACCATGTCGAGACGCATAACCCCGTTTCAGCCACCTGTACCCGGGATCAAACATTTTCAGCCATGGTACGCCACTTATGGCCGTAATTGAGCAAAAAGAATGAAGACCGAAGTAAACACCGACAGTCTTCAGACTTAGCTCTGCTTTATTCACGACGGTTCGGGTTATTTCACGCAGAACGCCACTGGCTACTTCAATCCGCCAATCGATATCCTCTTCAAATGTTCCATCGCCAGTAAACACCAAACCGAGTTACTTCAACTCCTTTACCTGCTATACTGCTTCTCCGTTAATCTGAACAGAGCAACGGGCTAGAAAACGAGAAAGCACCAGGCTTCTCGTTTTAGATGCGTTCACACGCATGCCGGTCACGTCGCACTCGGCTGCGAACCTTCCAGGGAGCATTGTAGATCAGTTTCAGAAGATACCAATAAAACAAGGTTGTCTGCAAACAACAATCTTCTCGTCTCCACATCTCCTACACCGATAAACTTAATGCTTTGGATGCTCCTGACTATTGCCCACAGGCTGTTACGTGGGATCCGGGCATAGGCTTA